TGTATATATTTTTTTGTTTGTTTTTTGGTATTGTTGTTTGAGACAGGGTCTCACCAGGTAGCCCCATCTGGCCTGAAACTCAATTTGTAGACCAGACTGTCCTTGAACTCACAGAGATCCGCCTGCCTCTAAAGGCTCAGACCATCACATGCCTCACCCAGCTCATCCTATTTTTAAAACGAGGAAACCAAAGTTCAGAAACACTGAGCAGAGTCCCCCGGGGCAAAGAAGCCGGTGTCCCTCATGTCTGCCCTGGCCTGCTCCTGCACACTGTGCCACGTGCCTCACCTGACCCTGGTACATCTAGGCACCCAGCATCTCCCAACCTTGTCGCTCGGTGCCTCTGTGCTTTCATGTGCTATCAGCACTGCCAGGCTTACTCGCGCCGCTCCTGATGAAGGCTGGCTCGTCCTGTGGTCCCAGCTGAGCAGCCCTCCAGGGTAACCTGTACTCCTACCCTGTAGGGTGCGGCCCCGGTCACTGAGATGGGTGTTCTGCTTCCCCAAGAGGTGCCTCATACCCTGAGGGTACTGAGGGGACCCAAGGGTGAATTGTCCTGGGTGGGGATGAAGCCGGGGGATGAAGTGCACTCAAAGCTCCTTGTTTAAAAACATAATTAGAGCAAACCCAGACACAATGGGGGAAGAATAGAAAGTGTGCGTGCGTTCGTAAGATGAAACACTAGACTTCAAAGTCCCACACAGTCTGACTGCTTTCAACTGTGCCCTCTATCTCCCCCTAACACCTCCAGGGAATGCAGTGTCTTACTTTTGCCACCAGGCAACTTGCTAGAAATTTCTGGGGAGCTTTGGCCTACAGAAGTGATGATTTATTTATATTTCTGTCTCCTGCACCAAGGCGGGAGCTCCCGAGGGCAAGGACTAAATCCGATTCATCTGTGAGTCCCCAGTGCCCCAGCAGAGAACTGAGCACACAGCGGCTGCCCTTTGAATAGTGATGATGATAATAATGGGAACAGTAATAACTACTGTTACAGCGCTTACCAAGGGCAAGCCCTCTTGTGAGTGCTTGACGTATGCTAACGAGTTCTCATAACAACCCTGCAATGTAAATATTCTTAGCATTCCCATTCTCATTTTACAGAGTGGTAAGAGAACTGACCAAAGCCACAAAGCCAGCATATGACACTGTATGACCAATGTATTGGGGCGAATAGTTCAGCTGGTAGCTTGCCTAGGACACACCCGGCGGGGGTTTGATCCCCAGCACCACATAAATTGAGTATAGTGGCCCACACCTGTAATTCCAACACTGGGAAGGTAGGGAAGCAGAGGCAGGGGGATCAGAAGGTCTGTATTATCTTTGGCTACAGTGAGTTGAAGGCCAGCCTGGGATACATGAGATTCTGTCTCAGAGAGAGAGAGAGGGAGAGGGAGAGGGAGAGGGAGAGGGAGAGGGAGAGGGAGAGGGAGAGGGAGAGCTAATGTATTAACTCTACTCCAGAATCTGCACTTTTGATAGAATTACCCTTAAATGAATGTTTACTAAATAAATGAGTGAATGAATCAGTGTAGTTGCCCAAGATAATCTCCAAGAAGTCTGTTTAATAACAATAACAAAAATGATCAGATTTCAAAATTAGTGATAAAAATTGTTTGTGAAATATTATATGTGATCTGATTGTAACATGTTCCATCTTTTCCTTTTCCTTTGTTTATTGTTTTGAGAGAAGGTTTCACTATGTAGTCCTAGCTAGCCTGGAATTCACTATGTGGACCAAGCTGACTTCAAACTCAGATCCCCCTGCCTCTGCCTCTGGAGTTCTGGGATTAAAGGTGTGCGACACCACTGGCTGGTGAAGCTGGGTTCTCGTTGCTCATGTTTATTCTGAAATTTTGCATAGTTTTCAACATATCACCTTTGGTGTGCCTTCTATGGATCAGATTCTATGCTGTTACCTCTGAAATCATTATCTAGTAATTTTTCTTTTTTCTTTTTTTTTGCTATCTAACCTCACAATAACTCTGCAAGTAAGTTAATATCACTGGGCATGATGTCGCATTCCTGTCCTGGCAGCACTTGGAAGGCTGAAGAAGGTGGATCACTGGGACTGTATTTGGGGATAGAGACCAGCCTTGGCTACATAGTGAGATCTTGTCTCAAACACAGACAGACAAAAAGAAGGAAGAGAGCCAGGCAATGGTGGTACATCCTTTTAACCCTAGCACTCAGAAGGCAGAGGCAGGAGGATCTCTGTGAGTTCCAGGCCAGTCTGGTCTACAGAGTGAGTTTCAGGACAACCAGGACCACATACTGAGACCCTGTCTCAAAACAACAACAACAACCCCCAAATACAAACAAACAAACAAACAAAAAAAGAGTCTGTGGTGGTTTGAATAAGAATGGCCCCCATAGGCTTATATATTTGGATGTTTAGATATCAGGGAGTGGCACTATTTGAGAAGGATTTGAAGGATTAGGAGGTGTGGCCTTGTTGGAGGAAGTGTGTCACTGGGGATAGGCTTAGAGGCTTTAAGAGCCCATGCCAGGACAAGCATGTCTCTGTGTCTATGGATTAGGATGTAGAGTTCTCAGCTACTCCTCCAGTACCATGTCCACCTGCATGCCGCCATGCTCCCTGCCGTGATGATAATGGACAACCTCTGAAACTGAAAGCCAGCCATCAGGGAAATGCTTCCTTTTATAAGCGTTTCCTTGGATACAGTGTCTCTTCACAGCAATAGAACAGTCACTGAGACAGAGGCTAGGCTAGCTGGCATGGTAGTGTCACACCTGTAATTCCAGCACTTAGGAGGTGGAGGCAGGAGGATCGGGATTTCAAGGGCAGCCTTGCCAACATAGCAAGTTCCAGGACAGCCTGGCTTACATGTGACCCTTTTTTAGAAAAGAAAAGAAAAAGAAAAACAAAGCTAGTGACTTAAGGTCACCTTGCTAGTGCCAGGCCCACACCCATGTCTAGTTGCAAAGCTGGTGCCTTCATTGTCCCACAGACTCTTCTCTCTCTTAGGCAAAGTCAAGGCCATCAAAGCCACCTTGTGGTCTGGGATATGGCTCCCAGGCCACAGCTGATGTTTCTTGACCCTCTTTCTAAGCACAGGCAGAGTACCATCTTGGTACCTGATCCTGGAGCACTGTACACTGAACACTTATCACAGGTACACTGGACATGTCCCCTTCTCTCCAAAGTCCAAGCTCATTCAGAGTAGGTCTGCCTGTGTCTGGGCCCAGTCATTTGCCCTCTCACTGCCGCCCAGTCCCTTACCTGGCCACCTGGTTGATGACAGGAGCGAAGTAGGTGGGCCCATAGAGCTGCACTGTGCGCAGACTCTGGAAGTAACTCTCCAGCACGCCCTCAATGCCTGCACAGTTGGGGTCCTCATCATTGTTGTTCTGCCAAAAGAGGAGGTGCAGCCAAGCTAAGACCACACAGTGGACACCCAGGAGCGCTCTGATCCCAGCTCACTCCCACCCCTAGACCCTTTCACGCTCTTCTCCAAACTGCCCACCCTCCACCCTGACCCTGTGGGTCACTGTCTCACAGCTCCTTCTCGGCTCTTCTTGTCCTTCACAAAGCATTAGCAGAAGTGACCCCTCAACTGAGGGGCACTGCGTGTCGGCTCTGGCCCATACTGTACCAGGGGGAACTGGTGAGAGATCCGCCCCTCTGGGGGCAGCTTGGCCCCAAAGCCATAGGCGGGGAAGAGCTTGTCACTGTCGTAGTCCTGAATGATCTCTCCCACCGCCTTGAGGGCCATGGCGTAGGCGCTGAGCTGGTAGGGACTCATGTAGTGCAGTGAGGTGGGCTGTAGGGGGTTTCCTGGGGAGACACAGGAGCGTGGGTCTCAGAGTCACCTGCTTCTCCTTGTGTGCATCCACCCCCCAGTCCATTTACCCGCCTCTACCCTGGACTCCTCACCCATCTGTTCATATGCCTTCTTGAAACTCTCCCTTACTTCTCTGTCTTATACACTGTATTACGTGGTCACCTGTCTGCCCACACATCCTCCAACCCATCTGCCAGGTGGCAAATGCAGTTTTCAACCTACGTATTCATTCCTATCCATCTACTTTGGTATCATCTTGTCTGCCTGTCTATCCATGCAGCCAGCCCCCTGATTACCTGTCATTTCTCTTCCTTGTTATCTTTATAATATCCCATTTATTCAGCCATCCCTGTCCATTCCCTTCTCATATGGATCCACTCCCCTGCCTGATTCTCCTAGCTAATGTACCTACCTACCTGTTGCTTCCTCATCTAAAAACAGTTGTGTGCCTGTACATACACATACATGCCCCTTAGTGCATTCACTCACCCATCCTTCTCCCCATGATTTATCCATTATTTATTGATTCATCATTTACTACCTATTAATGTATCCCTGTAAGTACCCACCCACCAGTCCGTTTATCCTCTCCTGATAACCCCATTTTCTCCCACCTTGTCCATCTCCTCCTCACTGGCCAATTGAGCAATCTGGCTTTTCCACCTTATCTGACTGGATCCCCATCACATGCCTGTGTCCTCTGTCCACCTTTGCAGCCAGCACTTTCCCTTCATGACTCCTGTCCAAGTGCCATCCTGGCTTGGCTTTACCTAAGCATAGATTGCTTGGGTAGTTAAAGTCTTCTCCCAGGTAGCAATCTAGGCCAAGCTTTAAAGAATCCCTTCTACTCTGCTCATTCCCACAACCTCAGCCATGTCTCACCGTTGGAAGCAGTGAAGTCAATAGCTACCGTGAAGTTCAGCTGTGTCCTAGTGGAGAAGTAGATGGGTTGATTAGTGAGGGTCCAATATCAATGACATCAGTATTTCCCAGACATAGACTCATGTTAAACTGCAGACCGTAATCCAGGCAGTCTGGGTGGAACCCAAGTACCAAGTACTGGTTCTGTTGCCGGCCCATGGGTCACACTTTGGCAGTAGAATTAAATGATTATTCTCATGATTAGGGTATTGTGTGTAGTTTAATGTCACTCTATGGTCCTGAAATAATAACTAAAATATCTATTTTACATAGGAGAAAAGTGAAATTCAGAGAAGCGAAGTTCACTGGGCCCTGACCATTCCCAGGTGAGAAAACTCATTGCTGGCTTGGCCCATGACTCACCCTCCCTTGATGTAATCCACGAAAGTGAATTCCGAGTCCACCGAGAAGGAAAGGAGCGTCACCTGGGGACACAAGAGGCAGCCCTGGCACTTTTGCAAGCACAGCTGAGGTGGCAGAGGAGGAGAACCGAGTGGAGCTTTGGAGAAAAGTGCATGATGGGACATGCATGTTTCCGCTCCTTCCCAGCTTCTCCCACCCTGCTCAGTCTCTGTAAGAATAAGGAGAGAAGCTGTCAGGTGCATCCTGGGATTTCCAAAAGCATTTTAAATTTGGAAATGCAACTTAGGGTATTTTTTTTAAATTCTGCAGAAGTGTAACAACAGGAAATTTTCCTGGGTGAGAAAGAACAAAAACAAGAAGTCCAACGGTGTTACCTTCTCCTCAGCATCACTGTCCTAGATAACCTGTGCCCACTGCCTTGTCCTACCCCCACTTCTCATGCCTGTCACCCCTGAGAGACACACAAGGGTCTGGGGAGGCCAGAGTCCAGAATACTTACGGTCCCCGAGTTGGTATATTTCTTCTTCTTGCATTTCTTCCGAGGGTTAAGTACCTAAGTAGAGGATGGTCACAGTGATGGTTACACCCAGCTGCCTAGGACAGAGTGCCTGGCAAAATGGCAGGGCCATGGCCTCACCTCATACACTGTGAACTGATTCTGGGCCTTGCTCAGCTCCCGGTAGCTGGTCGTGAACTCGCCAATGAAGTCGTGGCTGCAATGAGGCCATGGGTGGGTAATTGTGTAGAGCCAGAGCAGAATCCTAGGGCTTTTATTGCCCAGGCTTCCTAACTTGGGCTACAGGGCAGTAGGGCTGGGGCCAGATGGGGAAGGAGGAGGCAGAAGACAGTGACGAGAGAGCTGTCTAGCAGATGAGCTGTGTGGCTGTCATCACCCTCTGGCTCCCAGAGCTGCTTTGAGGTTCTAGTGACTGTACCACATGGTCTAGGAACTGCTCCAGTGAGCACAGGACAAAGCTCGTTCATCTACCTTCCATCCCGGTCCCAGTCATACACGTCGATCTTCACTGTTCTGAAATGCACATGATAAATCCAAACATGGGCTGTGTGTACATGCCAAACCCGAAGAAACCCCAGCCACTCCCCCATCCATCTATAGGTTCTTCTGTCATTGTTCATTTTCAACTGTCCACCCTTTCATTCAGCTCATGCATGTACCTGACTTGTTACAACTGATGTTATAGGAAACCACACACACACACACACACACACACACACACACACACACACACACACTCTCTTACCATTTGAATCTCACTTTATTCCAGGCAGTGTTCTTAGCACTTTTAGACTGTCTCATTTAATGTAACAGATATTCCCTATGAGTACTATTGCTGTGCTTTTGTTACTATGTACCATCCCCTACTCTCCACCTCTAAAATCTAAGCAACTTGGCTAAGATTTTGTAGCCAGTAAGTGACTGAGCTGATATTTAAACCCAGATATTCTGTTTCCAAAGACCTTGACCTACCCTCCCTTCCTTCTTTTGGAACTTCCTTTTCTCCTTCAGGCTGGCCTTAAACTCAAGATCCTTTTGCCTCAACCTCCTGAGTCCTGAGATTACAAACACGTGTCACCACACCTGGATCCAAATACTTTGTCCCCTATCTCATATATCTGTTAAGTTTATCCCATCAAACTATCTGTGTAGCCATCCGTTTACTCATATATATATATATATATATATATATATATATATATATATATATACACACATACACACACACATATATACACACACACATATATATATATATACATATATATGCCAATACAATTCCCTATTAACCTATCCTTTTATTCACCTATCAAATTATACAGCCCATCATTCACTAACTCTACTACATACAAGCACCCATCTTATCTGTTCACCTACTCAATTAAATACCCAACCATATTAACTTCTGTCCATTCATTTACACAACCATCCATTCAGGTGCCCTTCAGTCCTCCCACTCCACCCACCCCCTCATGAGTTCCTTTGGGTCAGCCGCCTACTTTACACACATCCATCACCTGATTCATCCAATCCACTAACCATCTATTCATCCATCTATGATTCATCTGTCTGGCCATCAATCCACTTGTCATTCTACCTGTCCTTTTTCTAGTCTACTTGATTTTTCATTCAAGTATCTGCCTCTCTCCCGTCATTCATCAACTCGTACATCCTCATCTATCACATCTCCATTTGTTAATTATCCATCTTCTTTCTCTCCATCTGCTGACATACCCACCAGTCTCCTTTTCCATGCTTACATCAGTTTCTCCACGCTCACTCAACCATCCCCAGTTTACGCACCCATCTGACCATCTATCCTTGTATCTGCTCACTCATTGTTCGCCTGCTCTTTCATCTATGATCCTCATTCTGGGGCTCAGGGACCTCATCTTTGTTCAGAGGGAGCCTCACTCACGTCCCGGTCCCCTGAGAGTGCAGCTGGTGTTGACCCTGACCTGTCATAGTCTCCGTTGCACAGTGCCCGCACAGGGATGCTGAAGGGCTGCCACACGGGGTTCAGTGTGTTCTTCACAACCTCTGTCTTGTGGCAGATGGTGAACCTGGAGGGAGGCAGGAAACTGGGAAGTGCCTTGGAGTGGCACTGAGACCACTCCTTATGGAGGTTTCCACGATCCCCCACTCATTAAGCATGAACCACATCCTGGCCCCAGTGCTGTATGGGGGTGACTCACGTGCCGTCCTCATTGCTCCGGTAGAACACAAGGAAAGGATCTGACTTCCCAAAGAAGTCCTTTTTGTCCAGCTTGTTTGCACACAGCTGCATAGTGGCAATGTCCTAAGGATCAAGAGTGGGGCTGGTGAGACCCAACTAGCCCAGAGCCTGCAGTGGGTCCAGTGAGGGAGTCTGGGGAATGGAGGAGTCTGGGTCTAGCATGTGGCCCTCACTGACCCGGCAGTTGCTGAGCTCCTCAGCAGTCAGCAGTATGGTCCCACACTTCTTGCCTGGCACACCCCTGGAAGCAGAAAAGGGCCCTTAGAGAGATGGGGGTGACGGGGGAACAGCAGAGTTGGGTGATCCCTCTGGGTTTGTGTGGGCCAGGGGATTCAGTTTTCCATTTGCTGACAATCCCCTAAGTGTGCCCTTCTTCTATTCTGGCTTTGACTTGGGTGGTGCACTGGTGGGAAGTGGAAACTAGCCTGGGGGTGGCGTCACATTAACACAGTGTGACAAAGGCCTGCAGTGGACTCAGGGTGGAGTCTACTGTTTTCAAGCTGCTTGACCCGGCTTACTTACTTACTTACTCCTCCTTTAGGGTATTATTTCTCTCTATGAAATGGGAATGGCCAGCATCTGTGAAGGGATCTGAACGCGTGTGCCTGGAAGGCACATGATTTGTAAGCCTTGTACATGGGAAGGGTGCACTCTTCAAACAGCCCTGAAAGGCCTGTGCCAGGCCAAGCAAGGTGCTGGACTGGGAGGGGCCAGCGGGCTCCGCAGATCTGCCAGACTCCACCCTCAGGGAGCTTCTGGGGTGTGGCCTGCCAGACACTACAGACAAGTGGAGTGTGATGGGCGGTTCTGAATGAGAGAGGAATTTCAGTTTACGCCAAGAGGCAAACGCTTGCTTTGCCTTTTGAAGAAGGGAAGGACATACCTGGTGGAAGGAGGGACTCAACAACTCCCTCAGTCATCCTCTGACCTCTACGTGTGTGCTGTGGCACACGTGCGTCTGCCCCCTTACAAATGGAAAAGGAGAGTCCTGGGTTCAAGTCCTGGCTCTAACTTACGATGTGACTTCCCCCCATCTTTGAAGTGAGAGAGCTTAGCGGGCATGGTAGGCCACACCTAAGTACAGTAGTCAGGAAGCCAGAGGGGGTCTTAGAGGTTTGAGGCCAACTTGGTCTACAAAGCAAGTTTTAGGCCAGCCAGAGCTACATTAAAAACCTCATCTCAAGGCTGGAGAGATGACTCAGCAGTTAAGAGCATTGGCTGCTCTCCCAGAGGACCCAGGTTCAGTTCCCAGCACCCACGTGGTGGCTCACAACTGTCTATGATTCCAGTTCCAGGGGATCTGACACCCTCATACCAATGCACATGAAATAAAAACAAAAACAAATAAACAAACAAAAAACCAAAAAACCTGTTTCATAAATAATAATAATAATAATAATAATAATAATGTGGTGATGCATGCCTGCAATCTTAGCATTTGGGAGGCCGAGGCAGAAAGATAAGAGATTAAGGCCAGGCTCCTGTATATAGAAAGTTCAAGGTCAACCTGGATTACTAGAGAAACAAACAAACAAATAAAATAAAACGAACTGTTTCAGCTGGGCGTGGTGGTGTATGACTTTAATCCTAGCACTGGGAGGCAGAACCAGGTGGATCTGTGAGTTCAAGGCCAGCCTGGTCTACAGAGTGAGTTGCAGGACAACAGGACAGTTACACAGAGAAACCTGGTCTCAAACAACAACAAAAATTAAGAATAATAAATAAGTAAAAGAAATGCTTTTTAAGTCCCTCCCTTTTTTTTTGTTTTTTTGAGACAGGGTTTCCCTGGCCATCCTGGAAATCACTCTGTAGATCCAGGCTAGCCTCAAACTCAGCAATCCACCTGCCTCTGCCCCCTGAATGCTGGAATTAAAGGCGTGGGCCACCACCTCCCAGCTACCTTTTTTAGTTCCTTCAAATCCTGACCCTGCAAGCTAACGGGAGGGTGTGTACTGCGGCGGGCGGCCGGGGCTGCTGCCAGCACAGTGAAGCATCCCGCTGTTGACCCACTGCCTCCCTTTCTCTCCTTGTTCCCCGTGCCCTCTTCACCCAGGGTGAACTGCACCCTTTCCCGACTCCTTTGCATCGCTGCTCTCACTCACGTTACCGTACTCATGTGCAGACCCCCAGCCCTGCTTAAACCCAATCTACCTAACCCTTCCTGCACACACAGAGAGCATGGCCACACAATCTAGCTGACCAGTCTCCATTTCAGACACATGGCCGCAAACCTCAGGTTCTTCCTGACCACTGCCCAGCAACCCTACGGAGCACTCATGGCCTCTCTCTCCGGTTCTGCTACCCAGACGAGTGGCTCCTCTCTCCTCAAAGCATCAGAGTCTCCTCCCATCCTCTCCCAGCCCGTGACCTGGTTTCCCACTTGCTGACAGAACTGAAGCAACCAGAAGAGATGGTCCACCCACCGCCATGCTACCCTGCCGCCAGCATCTTCACCCACATGGCTGAGCCTTCCTACAGCTGCTATAAATGAGCTGTCACGTGACTCTTTACCCCTCTGCTAGCTACTACCCGCTCTCGGTCTTGTCTGCACAAGGACATCACACCAGAAATGCTCCCCCCTTTTTTTCTTTGAGATTCTTTATAGCTAAGGATTGCTTGGAACTCACAATGTAGCCTAGGATGGCCTCAAACTCACGGCAGTCCTGTTTTGAGTGCTAGGATTGTAAGCCTGAGTTACCACACCTGCCTGGTTTCCCCTTCCGTGTATTCCATCAGCATCTCAGTCTCTACTGGCTCAGCCACATCAAATTACAAATGTGGTATGATTTTTCTCATGTTGGAAAATTATAAACCTATATATTGATACAAAGATGCCACCAGCAAACCCATTACTCTGTATGCTAATTTAAAAACACAATTTTAAATATTATAAATCTCTTCTTTTCTCTTGAAAGGTTCTCATGATGTAGCCCAGGTTGACCTTGAACTCCAAAACCTGCCTCAGCTTCCCAAGTGTGCTGGGATTACTAGGTGAGTATTATTTTACAGTGTGTGTGTGTGTGTGTGTGTGTGTGTGTGTGTGTGTGTGTGTGTGTGACTTGTGGGATTTGGTTTCTCCTTCTATCATGTAGGTCATCAGGCACGGTGGCAAACGCTTTTATCCGCTGAGCCATGTCACCAGCCCTGGAAACCTATTCCTGACCCCAGGTCTGCCACATACACGTCTCCTTTTCTTCCTTTGCAGCAAAAACTCCTTGAAATTTCTCTGGCCCCTATGTCCCTTTCCCACCTTCTCCTAAACCTCTCCAGCCTGCACCTCTTCCTGTCAGAGCCAGCAGTGATATAAAGGTAATTTCTAATTCTCATTTCATTTGAGGTGAGCTGCAGCTGCATTAGGGGTGGCTGGTCCCCTCTCCTCTCCTTCCCCCTCTTCCTTCGTTTTATGGTGTTGGGATCAAACCCAGGGCCACGTATAGTAAGGGGTTACAGTCTACCACCAAGCTACACTCCAGTACCTTTCTTCAAAAGAAAAGGTTTTCCCCCTTGCAATGTGAGGGTGGGGGAATCTGATCTTAAACTTGGAATCTAATAGAACACATGAATCCATGCTGAATTCCCTCCCTCCAAACTGGCTCATATTTTCTCTCTGCCTCTGTCTCATTCTCTCTGACAAGGTTTCACTCTGTAGCACAGGCTGGCCTGCAGCTCACTATGTTACCTAGGCAGGTCTCCAACTTGTGGCAACCTGCCTGCCTCAGCCTCCTGTGTGCTGGGATTACAGGGGTGGGCCACCCTGCCTGGCAGCATGCTCATTATAAAACCCAAACCCAAAACCGTATCATTTCAGTTGGTAGCACAATTTCATCTTTCCTGCTGCTGAGGCGGGATGAAGGCCCTGGCCTCTTTTCAGTTGCCTCTTTCCTTGCCCACCTGTGTTTAATGGGGTTAGGATCTGTTGGCTTCCCCTTCAGAGTACATCCAGAATGTGACCAGCTCCCCATCCACTGATGCATCCTCCCTGGATTACAACGACTACTTTCCGATTGCCATCTGCTTCTGTCTTTGTCCACACGGGGCTTATTCTTTTTGTTCTTTTCTTTTCTTTCCTTTCCTTTTTTTTTTTTTTTGAGCCAGGGTTTATTCTTAACCCAGTGGTCACCATAGTCAGACCGTGGCACCCCTCATGATCTGGGAACTCTTAATCTCTGCCTCCTGGCCTGTCCCTCTCTCGGCTCCGCCCACGCTGCTTACTGTGATGTGGGTTGATTAGGGTTGTTTCCTCTGTTTGCAAAGCTCACGCTTCCCCTTCCAGTACTGCTGCAGGGTGACTGCCTTCCAGTTGACCAAATGATTGAAAACCTCTCTCCCACCTGCCCTTTCTTTGACTCCTCCCTCCGATATCACTTACTATTTCTACTGTCTGTTTTGCACTAATTTCCACCTCCTCCCTCCAACTAGCTTGGCTCACTTGTAATTTTAGCCCATTAAACAGTGGGTGACAGAGGCAGGTCCAGTACAGTGGGTATAGTGGCAAGACCTGAGGATGTGACCTTATTCCAGGAAGCTTCCCGTTGGAGTGGGGCTTGGGAGAAAGCCTTCAAGACTGAATCAGACTTGGAAAAAGAAGGGAGAGGAGACAGGTCCAGCCTGAGATAGACTTGCACAGAGATCAGACTTTCTACAGCAGTAAGGGAGCTAGGCAAAGGTCCTCTTGGGACACCTCTGCAGGCCCCACAGATACTCTGCCAGCATCCTGCCGGGAGGGGGAACTCAGAGAGACCCTCCCCACCCCGCCCCGGACCCTTTCCCCTTCAGCTCACGTAAGAGGTCGTTCCACACGGCTGCCCTGGCCTCCAATCACCTCTCCTAGGGCCAGGAACGCTTGTCCCAGGAAATCCTGTGCCAAGACAGGGAGTCAGCCAGACGGGGAGGGGCCCTGAGTCCCAGGCCCACCCGCCGCCGCCACCACCGCTGCTGCTGCTGCTGCTGCTGCTGCTGCTGCTCTTGACCAAGATAACTCCAAAGTGCAGGTGACAGAGGGCCATTGCCAGAGCCACAGCCCCACGTGTTCTCTGCTTCTTGATGATCTCCCAACCAAATTCTTCCCGGTGCAGCCCACAGCATCCTCACCTTCTGCAGGTCCCAGGAGGTAGGCAGAGAAGGAAGAACCACAGTGAATAAGGCTGGAGCAGACCAAGGGAGGGTGGGGATTGGTGGGAGGCCAGAGGGGCCAGAACCTAAGAAGGGCTGGTGGGCAGGTGGGGAGTGTTCAGGTTAGCCTCTCTCTGTGCCCAGGCAACCTGCCAGCCGCTGCTGGCTTACCGGTTTGGAGATGTTGGCTTTGGAGTCCACGTTGTACCTGGGAAAAGAGTGGAACCGGTGTGGGGTGGGGCTGGGTGGGAGGAAGTCGGGAAGAGGTTAGGTTCAGTCTTAGTTAAGATTATAGGTGGAGAACGGGGCAGTAAACCCCCATTCAACCTGGGTCTAGTTTGGGACGTGTGTCATGGTCGAGAGGGTCATGCTTGGGGTGAAGACAAGGTGGAGGCTTGGTGGGGGAGGGGGCCCGAGGCCAAGGTGGAGTTAAATTAGATGGCAGGGTTGTGCATAGAGCCAGGCTCGGGAGGAACTGGACGGATCCTGCCTAAGGCGGAGCCAACCTGGGGGTGGGGGTGGGGTTAAGACCAGAGGGATGCCCTTTGGAGAGGGCCCTGGGCCTGGGGGAGGAGCCAGGTAGGAAGGTAAGGCCTGGGGGGCGGGGCCAGGCAGAATTCCGGGCTGATCCAGGTTGGGGAGGAGGGGCGGTAGACCAAGACAGGATTCTAGGAGCCTCACACATCGAAGCGGAGATTTTGCTTTTCTTCAAAAAAATAGTCGAGGACGAATTTGCGCACGAAGTCTGGGTTCAGTGTGTTGTCAATCACCTCCGTTCGTCCGAACTGGGCGGGGGGACGGAGGATGAGCGCAGGCAGCCGGGCTGGAGGTTCCCCGGAGCGGCCCTGAGCTGGGCTGGGGCTCTGGGACTCACCTCCCGCCACTCCTGGCTGGCCCGGCTCTGCGTGTGGAGCACCACCACTGCGGGTGAGGGCAGGGGAGGGGAGCTCGTCAGGTCGGCCCGCACCCCTCACCGCCCCACCCGCTCCTACACCCCGCGTTCTTCCTCCAGGCCCGGGAGCCGCTTACTGGGGTCCGATTTGGAGAAGGTGTCCAGGTCTAGCAGATTCCTAGAGAAAAGCAACCAACAGATGGACAGAGGGCTAGCTCATTCTGCAGCCCACCACCTTGACACAGTCCTAAACCGGGCACCCGGAAGAGACCTGGGATTCAAATCGTACTCCCTCCCTATTGCTATTCCCAGTGAGTGTTGGGGTCCACACTCCGCATTCGGGACGGTACCAGAAATCTCTGCCAATTGGCTCCATATGTGCTCACACAGTCTCCAAGGACCAAGGAGGCGGCTCGCCCCAGAACTTTGGCCCCTTGTGGCCCAGCTCTTAAGGAATCCCTGCAGCCCACCTTTTGAATTGGTAGGCTTGAGCCCGCTTTTATAGGGTGGGGCTGCCCAGGGAGACACCCCCCCCCCATCCTGCCAGTGATAATGACTCCCGCCTTCAGCCTCGGTTCTCTGTTCCCCGCTTCTGGTGGTCCCCTCTGTGGTCTAGCCCCCTGCCCACCCCAAGCCCGCAGCTGCGTGGGGCTGGGGCATTGCCAGTACTTAAACCCTCCCTAGCGCGGCCCGCTCACCGGCACGACACAGTAATTTCAATCTTGGTGGCCGGGACGCTGCGCTCCGAGGCTCCGCTGAGAGACATGGCTAGTCCAGTGGCCAAAGCCGCGGTGGGCGATGGGGGGCCGCAAGACCCCGGCCGCCTGAGCTAGGGGCGGCGGCGAGGCCGGCCCATGTGCCAAGGCAGCGGTGCTCTCTCCAGCCCTGTGTGCGCTCCGCTGCTCGCGCCCTGACAGTGGCCGCTGGCGGCAGCGGCTCCAGATGGCAGCACAGCCCCGCCCGGCCCTGCGGGCGGCCCCCGCCCCATTGGAGCAGCCTGGAGCTGGTCGGGAACCTCATCCAGACCCCAACTCTGACCTACACTTCCTCTGGAGCCACCACCGGGGCACTGAAAACCTCAGCACTATCCATGGTTCTGAAACATTTGGGGTGGGAGTTGGTAGACTCCGATTCTGAGGGGCTCTCACCATCTCTTCCTTTCCTCTTCCCGGCCCACCTTCGCCTCTGGATATGAATAACTGTGTGACCTTGAACAAGTTACTCAATATTAGTGGTTAAGGCCCTAATAGCAGCTACTGGGGTATTTTAAACAGGCTTAGTGACCTCTGGGTATCGACACTGATGGCGTGTCAGATCAGGACTCTGGGGACATAGGTCATTGCACAGCACTTGTCATCTACCGTATGCAAAGCCCTGGTTTCTAGCCCCAGTACAGGTGTGAGGGACCAGAGGAATGGTGAACTCTGAAACCCTTGATGCCTTTGAGACTTGACACTCATCAAGCAGATCCTCTCCCCTCCCATGTGTGGCCACTGCTGCCTCCACAGCCCAGAAGCCTGTCCCTCTATTAATTCAGATCTTCCATCCCACGACGTTGTTGCTTCAGAACCTGCTAAAGATGCAAGTCCACACCCTGAGCCAGTGAGGAGCCCCAGAACCTGCCCAGATGAGCAGCAGCTGTCACCAAGCCCACTTAGGCCTGTTGACCCCTGCTCCCACCCCAGTCTTATGAATTCACAGGCCACCCTTTATGGCTTGAATTGACTGATGGGGGCTGGGGACTTGGCCTATCACACACAGGCCTTGGTTTCTTTCCCTAGCACAGAACAGAAAGGCAAAGCCAGGGATAGCATTCTGAATCGCAACTCCCCAGTCTCCAACCCTTCCTAAGGTTCTGAGCAGCTCTATGAGGGTCACAACCAGAAGAGATGCCAGACAAGAGCCATTCAAAAAGACCTTGATTTTATTTTGTGATTGGTGAGACTGCCTCACGTTCAGTGCGGGTGACCCTCCTTCCCAGGAAACAAAAACTGCAGAATGGGGTCTTCCATAACATTACGGCCTCCCCGAGGCCCTAGGAAAACCCCAGGCAGTTCTGCGAGTGGACAGGAATCCAAAGACCAGGGTTGGTGGGAGGCAGTGACAGAGTGGTCACCAGCCAGGAGGCTGGAGCTAGAAAATCCCCTCCCCAGGCCTGCTCAGGCCTGGGGCTGCCATGTGCGTGAGTAGAGGAGGTGTGAGCCGTCCCCTGCTCTCCAAGTGCCCCTCTGCCAGGCATGGCTTGATTCCACCGAGGGCTCAGGAGACAGCAGCAGGAAACGGCGGTGCTGTCCACTTCACAAGGCGCTGGTGCTCGTGCCGCGGAGCCCCACACCACGGGCGAACTGTTCTAGCAGGCCCCCGATGGCGCCAGAGGGGCTGGGGGTCACTGCCCGGAGCCCCACTGTGCTGCTGTATGCAGCCAAGAAGGCGGAGCGCACCTCCTGCAGCCGCGTCTCCCGGTCAGTCAGGGCTGAGAGTCTGCAGGGAAGGAGAGAGATGAATTTATTACCGGAGGACAGGATCCCACCACCTCACTCCACAGGGCCTAGCCTCACACTGCCAACTGCACAAAGTCAGCATCTAGCTGGTGGCTCAGACTCCATATTCCCCATGTAAGTCGCAGCTCTCAGTCTGTTCCTCCAGTGCAGAGCAACTTCTCTGCGGGGCGAACACCGCTCCTGGTGATGACGGGGAAGGGGAGCTAAGCAGTGGCATATCTGCTTCAACATCCGTTGGCTCCCTCTCCCTTTAGGAACAAGCTGTGGCACAAGCCGTGTGCCTGCCATAAGGAGACTTCCGAGATATGGCGGGGGGCTCAGCTGCTAGCAGGCTATAGCCTTCTCGTGGCTAGGACCACACCCCCGTGGCTGTAAAGAGCTTTGGCCATGGGAAACCCAGCTGCCCTGAAGAGACCAGAATCTCCCAGTGCAAAGCCGGGGCTCCAGCTGCACCTCAGTCCTGCGGCCTCCCAGGTAAACAGCTGGGAAGGTGTTGCGCCGACTTTTCTCCTTCCTTTTAGGGCACTGATCATGGCAGACCAAAAGCCTCACTCCACTGTCTGGAATTAGAGGTCAAAGGGGGAGGTAAGCACACATAACTCAGGTTTATCCATGTGTGGATTCCACATGGGGTTGTCTGACGTCCTAGGGTCTGTAACAGAAGAGGCTTGGCTACCATCTGGCACCCATCCTCTGGACTCAAGGTCAGGTATATGCAGACATTTGGCTAGAGGGTTGGCTGGAGAACCTCTTCAAGGGCCAGGTGAGTCTCCACAGCCCATCCACCAGGGCACGAAGACTAGCAAGGACCACACTAACTCATCCACACTCTGTGCCCTCTGAAAGCCATCCTTGGAGAATCCTTCTAAGACTCCGTCAGAGGCGACAGCAATGTGCCCCCTTCCTAGTAAGCCCGGGTCCTGGGGGGTCCGAAGTCTGGGAACAGAACAGTCTTAAGGCCAACAGGGGAGGACAGACCAGTCCCTAGGGAAACAGGCTGGTGGAAGTTGTCGGTGAGAGGCAGAGAGAAGCACCAGGGGGCAAAGCAAAGTCAAACCAATCCCACAGCAGCACAAGGAAAATGAGGTGAATGCCAATCCCTGTAACCCAGGAGCAACCCTGAGGTCTCTGCTGGCACTGTGGGGAGACATGTGTCCTTGAACCCTTCTAATCAGGCTTTTCTCAGGTGGGAGGTCATGCATAGATCTCTCAGCTTCTTTTTGGTTTCAGTGAAGAAAAGGATGTCTCTGTATCCATATAATACAAGGAGTAAGGATTATGTGGGGGCCTACATGTGTATTCACACAGCCCTCCTCCTTCAGGCAGCAAAGGGACAAGACCAATCTGTTTAGAGACAAGCAAGCCAGCTAAGACAGGCTACTGATGTTCGCAGGACACAAATGGGCACTGGAGCTGGTAGAGCAGCGGACAGTCTCTCTCAAGAGCAGGCTAGCACTACGCTTGGGAACGTCAAGGCCGAGACTGCAAGACACAGATGGGGAACAGAGCGGCTAGGATTTAGACTGCTTCCTCCTAACCAAGTCCAAGGGTGTCTTCACAAGGAATAGACAGACTCCAACTCAATTTTGGAGGCTCTGAGATCACAGAATCTTTTGTCCTTTGAGAACTTCCCAGATCTGGGGGCTGGCTAGCAGCTCAGAGACAGCATGAACTTTGTTGGTTCTGGGCAGGATGACCTGGGGCTGGGACAGCCTGTTTCTGAGGTGAAGGATGCTGACAAGCAGGGCAGGGGTGGTCCACGTTGTCTCCAGAGAATTCTTTCACCAGTCTGGCAGAAGATGACTTTTTTTTTTTTGGTTTTTCGAGACAGGGTTTCTCTGTGTAGCTTTGCGCCTTTCCTGGAACTCGCTTTGGAGACCAGGCTGGCCTCGAACTCACAGAGATCCGCCTACCTCTGCCTCCCGAGTGCTGGGATTAAAGGCGTGCGCCACCACCGCCCGGCCAGATGACTTCTTTATAGAAACACCTAAGGATTTTTATTTTATCCTCCAAAAATGGGCTCAGGATGTGGCTTGTTTGGTAGAGTGCTTGCTTGGCATGGATGAAACTGAGTTCCATCCCCAGGACCACCACATAAACCTTGGGGGGCACGTGCTTGTAATCTCAACATTCAGGAGGTAAATAAAAGCTGGATGATCAGAAGTTCAAGGTGACCTTTGGTTACTACTATACTAGGCCAACCTGGGCCAGACATCCTGCCTCAAAAACCTATTAAATAATCTGAGATCTAGCTCTGTGTACTGGGGCCTGGTGGCCAGGGAGGCTGGACTGAACAATGGATTTGGAAGCCCTATGGTGACCTCCCAGTTTTAGGGCTAGGACCTGAGAGTATTATCCAGGTATCCCAGTGTCTGTCCAGCCCCTGCCTGACTTCAGATGGACCCTCTTCTTTCCTGATTTCCAGAATAACTTGCCTCCATTCAGACAGCAGAGGGCTGGGTGTTGTGAACTGGGGTCAGCAGTAGTGGAGAGAAGGAAGACTGACTGAAGGGCCTGTTGTGTAGCTGCATCTGAGGAGCAGGCCTTACTCCTCAGGGCACTAGAGGTTCTCTCTTGCCTGACCATCTACCAGCCACCAAAGATGGCAAGGGGACATGTCGCCTCCCCAGAGGAAGAGGCATGTGATCTAGCAGTGCCCTCCAGTCCTTATTTTTGTCCTGAGGCAAAAGTACAAGCGTGGGGGTACAAAGTAACTCTTGGTTCTGCTTGGATTTCAGAGCCAGGCTAACCCAGTGCCATTTTGCTCTGGTCTTCAACATACACTTAGCTCCTACCCGACTGTTCTGTTTTCAAAGGATTCTCATGTCAGGCAAAGCCTCATACATAAATAGAATCCTCTATAGTTCTAGTCCAGCTAGCTTTCCCTCAGGACACCCGACACATCTGTGGATGGGGTTTTGGAACTGAGAAGAGTGAACATGAAGCCTAATGCACGTCCTGAGCTGCCACAGGCATCCTTCACACCCTGGGGATCCAGAGGCCGCACACTAACGGGGAGGGGCAGAGACCCCAAGCTGCTCCCTCTGGTCAGCCT